TTTTTCAATAAAATTATTTAATAAAACAAATTATTCAATATAATTGTTCAATAAATTATAGGATAAAAAGGAACAAATTATTGAATATAAATAAAGTTGAATGCATATCGAAATAATTATGTTGAATAAAAGAAGCTGTGCAAGAAAAGAATACAGTTCATTTATGTGAACCTGGAGAAAATGCAGATTAATCTATCAGGACAAAAATAGATGAGTGGCTGCCTGAGGGGGAGTAGGGCTGGGGGAGTGAGGGAGACCTGAGAGAGTGACAAAGGAAGCCTCTGCCTGATGTCTCAATTGTGGGGATGGTTTCACAAGCACATTCATATGTCAAAACACAAACTGCACATTTTACTCATGTGACTTTATTACTCATGTCAATTATACCTCCATAAAACTAAAGATAAATGTATTAGTGGAAGATGGCTGCATGAGTAGTTCAAAGGAAATCTCCTCCCCAAAACATATATATTTATGAAAATACAATAAATACAACTATTCACAAAAGAGACACCAGTGGATGCGGTACAACAGCCAGGCTACATCTACATCTGTGAGAACTCAACATCACATGAAGGGGGTAAGATACAAGCCACGGCCAGGCAGGACCCAAATGCTTCCCCACCCCAGAACCCGGTGGGAAGAAAGGAGTCAGAACAAGGAGGAAGTGAAAGTCCAGGACTGCTAAACAACCAGCTCTAGAAATCCTCACCCGGAGTGCAGACACCAGGTGCATGGGGTGCTGGATATTAGAGAAACAGAAAAGCAAAACCTGTGGACAGGTCCCTGCAACTGGTGCACCTGAGACAAAAGAAAAGCAAGTGCTTTCTGCAAGTCTTAAAGAGACAGGGACCCCATAGCTGGACAAAGTCATCCCAGCACACTTAGCCAGCAGCTCTGGTCTGGATAGCTGGGGCTGGGTGTTCAGCAGTCCTGGGCTCCTTCTCCCTCCTGCTCAGCCCTCTCTCCTCCCACCTGGAGCTGGGGTGAGGGGTGCTCGGGTCCCACTCGGCCTTGTATCTTACCCCTTTCACCAGGCGCTGGGCTCTCACGAGTGTGGATGTAGTCTGGCTGTTGTCCTCTGTCTTCTGGTCTCTCTTTTAGGATTAGTTTTATTTGTTGTATTTTCAAAAATATATATGTTTTTGGGAGGAGATTCCCACTGTCCTACTAACGCCGCGATGTTGGCTCTGCCTCCTTTCATAGTAGTCTTTAATAATTGTTTGTATTTCTGTGGCATCTGTTGTGATTTTTCTGTTCTCATTTCTGATTCTGTTGATTTGTGTTGATTCTCTTTTTCTCTTAATAAGTTTGGCTAGGGGCCTATATATTTTGTTTACTTTCTCAAAGAACCAGCTCTTGGTTTCATTGATTTTTGCTATTGTTATATTCTTCTCAATTTTTTTATTTCTTCTCTGATCTTTATTATGTCCCTCCTTCTGCTGACTTTAGGCCTCATTTGTTCTTCTTTTTCCAGTTTTGATAATTGTGATGTTAGACTATTCATTTGGGATTGTTCTTCCTTCTTCAAGTGTGCCTGGATTGCTATATACTTTCCTCTTAAGACTGCTTTCGCTGCATCCCACAGAAGTTGGGGCTTAGTGTTGTTGTTGTCATTTGTTTCTATATATTCCTTGATCTCTATTTTGATTTGTTCATTGATCCATTGATTATTTAGTAGCATGTTGTTAAGCCTCCATGTGTTTGTGAGCCTTTTTGTTTTCTTTGTAGAATTTATTTCTACTTTCATACCTTTGTGGTCTGAAAAATTGGTTGGTAGAATTTCAATATTGTGGAATTTACTGAGGCTCTTTTTGTGAGCTAGTATGTGGTCTATTCTGGAGAATGTTCCATGTGCACTTGAGAAGAATGTATATCCTGTTGCTTTTGGATGTAAAGTTCTATAGATGTCTATTAGGTCCATCTGTTCTAGTGTGTTGTTCAGTGCCTGTGTGTCTTTACTTATTTTCTGCCCGGTGGATCTATCCTTTGGGGTGAGTGGTGTGTTGAAGTCTCCTACAATGAATGCATTGCAGTCTATTTCCCTCTTTAGTTCTGTTAGTATTTGCTTCACATATGCTGGTGCTCCTGTATTGGGTGCATATATATTTAGAATGGTTATATCCTCTTGTTGGACTAAGCCCTTTATCATTATGTAGTGGCCTTCTTTATCTCTTGTTACTTTCTTTGTTTTGAAGTCTATTTTGTCTGATATTAGTACTGCAACCCCTGCTTTCTTCTCACTGTTGTTTGCCTGAAATATGTTTTTCCATCCCTTGACTTTTAGTCTATGCTTATCTTTGGGTTTAAGGTGAGTTTCTTGTAAGCAGCATATAGATGGGTCTTACTTTTTTATCCATTCTATTACTCTGTGTCTTTTGATTGGTGCATTCAGTCCATTTACATTTAGGGTGACTATTGAAAGCTTTGTACATATTTTCATTGCAGCCTTTAAATTTGTGGTTACCAAAGGTTCAAGGTTAGCCTCTTTAGTATCTTACTGCCTAACTTAGCTCGCTTATTGAGCTGTTATATACACTGTCTGGAGATTCTTTTCTTCTCTCCCTTCTTATTCCTTCTCCTCCATTCTTCATATGTTGGGTGTTTTGTTCTGTGCTGTTTTTAGGAGTGCTTCCATCTAGAGCAGTCCCTGTAAGATGCTCTGTAGAGGTGGTTTGTGGGAGGCAAATTCCCTCAGCTTTTGCTTGTCTGGTAATTGTTTAATCCTGCCATCTATTTCAATAAACATCGTGCTGGATACAGTATCCTTGGTTCAAGGCCCTTTTGTTTCATTGCATTAAATATATCATGCCACTCCTTTCTGGCCTATAAGGTTTCTGTTGAGAAGTCTGATGATAGCCTGATGTGTTTTCCTTTATAGGTGACCTTTTTCTCTCTAGCTGCCTTTAAAACTCTTTCCTTGTCCTTGATCTTTGCCATTTTAATTATTATGTGTCTTTGTGTTGTGCTCCTTGGGTCCTTTCTGTTGGGAGTTCTGTGTATTTCTGTGGTCTGTTCGATTATTTCCTCCCCCATTTTTTTTGAAGTTTTCAGCAATTATTTCTTCAAAGACACTTTCTATCCCTTTTTCTCTCTCTTCTTCTTCTGTTACCCCTATCATATGGATATTGTTCCTTTTGGATTGGTCACACAGTTCTCTTCATATTGTTTCATTCCTGAAGATCCTTTTATCTCTCTCCATGTCAGCTTCTATGCATTACTGTTATCTGATTTCTATTCCATCAATTGCCTCTTGCATCTTATCCATTCTGCTTATAAATCCTTCTAGAGTTTGTTTCACTTCTGTAATCTCCTTCCTGGCATCTGTGATCTCCTTCTGGACTTCATCCCATTACTCTTGCGTATTTCTCTGCATCTCCGTCAGTATGTTTATGATTTTTATTTTGAATTCTTTTTCAGCAAGACTGGTTAGGTCTGTCTCCTTCTCTGGTGTTGTCTCTGTGATCTTGGTTTGCCTGTAATTTTGCCTTTTCATGGTGATAGAAATAGTTTGCACAGCTGGGATGAGTGATGGCTTGAAGAAATTCCCTTCTTGTTGGTTTGTGGCCTTCCTCTCCTGGGAGAACAGCAACCTCTAATGGCTTGTGCTGGGCTGCTGCGCGCAGATAGTGCTTCTGATTCCTGCCAACTGCTGTGAAGTTTATCTCCACTGTTGCTGTGAGCGTGGCCTGTCTCGGGCCACTGCTCCAAAATGGTGGAGCCATGTTGGAGGGGGAATGGCCGGGAGGCTATTTATCTCCATGAGTGGCCTCTATGCTCCCTGCTGCCCAGAGGGTTAAAGTGCCCAGAGATCCCCAGATTCCCTGCCTCTGGACTAAATGTCCCACCCTGTCCCTTTAAGACTTCCAACAAGCACTCATGAAAACAAAAAAAACAAAACAAAACAAAAATTAAATAAATAATTAAAAAAAAAACACCATTCACTTTTCTTTGTCCTCAGGGACCCGCTCACTGGTCTTCCTGCCCTGTTTCCCTATTATTGGGGTCCCTGTCCCTTTAAGACTTCCAAAAAGCACTCGCTCAAAAAAAAAAAAAAAGCTGCTTGCTTTTCTTTGTTCTCCAGCACCAGCCTCATGGACCCACTCACCGGTCTTGCTGTCTTGTTTCCCTAGTATCCAGGACCCCACGCATGCACTGTGTCTGCACTCTGGTCTGGATGGCTGGGGCTGGGTGTTCAGCAGTCCTGGGCTCCTTCTCCCTCCCTGTTCTGACTCCTCTCCTCCCACTGGGAGCCTGGTGAAGGGATGCTCATGTCCTGCTGGGCCGGGGCTTGTATCTTACCCCCTTTGTGAGGTGCTGGGTTCTTGCAGGTGTGGATGTGGTCTGGATGTTGTCCTGTGTCCTCTGGTCTCTATTCTAGGAAGAGTTGTCTTTGTTATATTTTCATAAATATATGTGGTTTTGGGAGGAGATTTCCACTGCTCTACTCACGCTGCCATCTTGGCTCCACCCTAGAAGGTCATTTTTTTATAAAAACAATTTATTCATATCACAATTCCAGATAAGATCCATTGTATATTCTCTTAAGTTTTGTTTAATCACACAGGTTTTCCTCCCTCTCTTTTATCCCTTTATAGCTGTTGCTATATAATTTGCCACAGAAACTGACCTCTAGAGTTTCTCACATTCTGAAATTTGATGATTGCTTTGCTTGATGCTAGAAACCTGTATTTTTATATGAAGTCTCCCAAATTTAAAATGTTGCTCGAGCCAAGCAAATCGTACTTTACCTTTCTGTCTAACTCAACCTGAGGGCCACTGCTTTGCAACCTCTGTATTCAGTTTATCAATAAAAGGAGGAAAAGAGGACCACAAATTAAGTCAGAAAAACATCAAATTAATATTGCTATTTGGAGGCAATGTCCTCCTCACAACCCAACACACACACACACACTGAGAAGAAATAGAATATATCAATTTTCCTCCATCTTTCCCCTTTTCAAATAACATTCTGGACTTGTGAGGGTGGGCTGAGACCCATGGTTGTGAATGCTTCAAAACTATCTACTCTGGCCAACCCAAAGGTAGGCTCTACATTGCCACAGGGGTCGGGACCTCATGAGGGTTGTACAAGAACACAGTCCAGGTTATGTCTGTTGAGGGGCTTTAGCAAAGAGTTTCCAGTTCTTCCCTCGTGGGAAAGGAGTTTGTACTGAAGCAGATTTAACCAGGGACAGTGGGTGTTTAGGCCCTAGAGGGGTACAGATTTTGCTGGTGTTGATTTTCTTACAGATTCTTGCTAGTGTCTGGATAGGACCACTCATCCAGTGATTCAGTCCAAAGAGATTGTTACACTCCATCCTAAGTATAAAAAAAAAAATAATGTGTGCTTTTCTTTCAATAATACGAAAAAAATTTTTCATCTATATTGAGAGTTCATTTTTGTTATGAACCATGGTGTGTATGTATAAAACTGTCTGTAGATATTTATACTAAAATGTTAACCATATTTATCCCTGAGGAGTTTTCATCATCTGTAATAGATTAAATTTCTAGGGATCAGGAAAGTGTATTTATTCAAAAAGCATTGAATAGGTTCAACTCTTCACTAAGTATACTAAATATTAAACACTGGAAAACTTGTAAGGAATTTGTTTTTTCCTTTTTTTTCTCTCTACTAGCTGGATATGAACCTGAATGAGGAGAAACAGCAACCTTTGAGGGAAAGGACATCGTCATCAGGAAGGGAGATGGTGTCCCAGTACTCGCACACCTCCAAGGCTGTGAGTCACGGGGCAGGGACCCTTGACATGGGGACTGTGCCCTTTACTTGGACATGTTTGTTGTGCCAGTTTTGTAGAACATCTTATGTCTAGATAAGCTCTATTTCATTCTGTCAAATAAGCCTACTCATTTTTTACTCTCATTTGAGTTACTTTTTACCTGATTTGGTCTTCATGAATGTGGGGAATGGGATGGGAAATTCTGAGTCTCACATAGTTTGATGGTATGTATATGTCTGCCCTGATATTATTTAAACTGTATTGACTAATACTAGTCCAATTTATGACTAGGCCCAGTGTTTACCAATTTCTCTTTATGGTCACATCCAGGGCATGAACCAAAAGGAGAGCTCTAGGTCTGCCATGATGTACATTCAGGAGCTGAGGTCAGGCGTGCAGGATATGCCTCTGCTCAGCTGCTTGGAGTCCCTTTATGTCTCGCTTAACAACAACCCTGTCAGGTAAAGCTTCCGAGGTGGTAATAGGAGTAAGAGGCTAAGGATTGAGTTTATTGGTGGTGATCGATGAGCAAAGGAGTCAGGCAAGTATGAGAATATTCTGAATTGGGAGTAAATAGTTGCCAGGATCAACTTTGTTTTGAAAATAAGTGTTTATTGATTTGATTTTGTATTGCATTGTCTCTGTTCTCTACAGTTGGGTGCAGACATTCGGTGGGGAGGGCCTGGCCTCCTTATTGGACATCCTTAAACGACTCCATGATGAGAAGGAGGAGACAGCTGGGTGAGGATTTCCAAGTTTTGACATCTTCTCAGTGAGGGATAGCAGGGGACTTGACTCTGCTCTAAAGGAAAAAATAGCGGTTAAAATAAAGTTATGGATTAGAAGTGCTCTTAGCTGAGAATGGGGTTTATTGTGGGAGCGACTAGACGATGAATGATAATTGTAGATACAGGAGAGGGAGGAGGAACTTAAATTTCACAGTGAATCACACAGCCTGTATACCATGTAAGATTGAGTCTCCCAACTCAGGTTCTTATCTAGTCTGGAAGGAGGGTCTGATTTAGTCCAGACTGTGTTTGTCATTTGATCTGGGTCATATTTCATTTGAAAGCCTTAAAATATACTTGATCAATTAGGGACTAGCTTTATGACAGTCCTCAGTGCTAGAATAATTCTGGGGATACCTTGGGAAGTCTTAGGCTACCTTGAAGCCTAAGTTGCTTCTCCTTCCTGTGATCTTTCCAAAGCAAAACACAGGACCTATATACCTCCTGAATATACAGACTTGAAACCTTTGAAGTAGTGAGTTAGTAAGTAATAGATGGGATGTTATCTAGTACTTAGGAGCCTAGAGGGAGTTAAAGGGAAGATTTTAATGTATTACTAAGTTACTGGATTGTTGAAAGGATTAACCAAAATGTCTTTGATGGTGGGGATCCCTCTTCGGCTACCTCTTTTTGCCAGTGTTTCAGGCCAAAGTGCTGTGTGCTGGAATTAACTCAGCTACTAGTTGTGGACATACCTAAGACCCTTGTTTGCAAAATTGAAAAGTCAAATGGGCAGGGGATATATAGAATAAAGGTACTTAACTGATTATGTCTTCTGCATGCAGAAGCTATGACAGCCGTAACAAGCATCAGATCATTCATTGCTTGAAGCTTTTATGAATAATAAGGTGAGAGATTTTTCGCATTCTTTTCCAACCCTCATCGTGACCCCATTTTTTTTCTACTGGTAAACTACAAAAAGGACCTAGGAATATGAAGTTCAAAACTTCTAGCATTCCTTTTGTACTGTAATTGTTTGATAGCCACATATACTTGCTTTTGTGGACCTTTTTTCCAAGTTCTAATGTCTGTTTCAGCGGGTACGCTTGATTTTCTTCCTCTTTTTATACTTTGATTTGCTAATTCTTCAATTTCCTGATCTGTAGTTACTCTTTTTGAAGTTTTACTTTATTCTCTGCTTACTTTTTCTTTTCCAGACTGTTCCTACTGTAGAGTCTTTTCATCTTTTTTGTATGTCTAGTATTAAACCCAGGAAGCCCATAATTTTTTTTGTTCCTGAGTGCAGATCTATCGTCCTCACTTTCATTTTGTTAAAATTAACATACTCCATTGGATGGTGAGGAGTGGCATTAAAGAAAACCTGAGAATCAAAGATTTTTGGTTTTGGAAGACATAGAATTCTGTTGTGTGTACTAGAAAATCATTTTGCTCTGCTGATCTCTGTTTAGCTGTAATAGGAAAAGATTTCTATCCCTGGATTAGTGTGCGAGGGCTGCTGTAACAGAGTGCTACACACTGTGTGTCTTAATACTGTCTCACAGTTCTGGAGGCTGGAAGTCCGAGATCAAGGTGTTAGCATTATTGGTTTCCTCTGAAGGCTGCGAGGGAAAGCAGGTTCCATGCCTCTGTCCTAGCTCCTGGTGGCTTGCTGGCAGTCTTTGGGGTTCCTTGGCTTGTGGGTACAGCCCCTCAGTCTCTGTCTTCATGTTCATATGACATCCTCCCTGTGTGTGCATCACTTTCTATAAGGACAACAGTCATACTGTATTAGGGTTCATGCTAGGCTAGTATGACCTTGTTGTGACTTAACTAATAACATCTACCAATAACCCTACTTACAGATAAGGGCACATTCTAAAGTACTGGTTGTTAGACTTCAGCATATGAATTTTGGGGAACACCATTCAACCCATAACAGTCCCTACACTTGCCCATGGTGTAGATGCTGTCATCTTTAAGTCTCCCTTCTCTGTTCTTGTCCTACCAGTTTGGAATCAAGACCATGCTGGAGACAGAAGAAGGAATCCTGCTGCCAGTCAGAGCCATGGATGCTGCTCTTCCCAACATGAGGACTGATGCAGCCAAACTGCTTTCTGCTCTTTGTATCCTGCCGACACCAGACGACATGTGTGTGACTGGAATTATTTCTCCTCTCCATTCTCTTTTTTACCAGAAGTCTTCTGTAGTCTAGAGGAAAATTAGGTTGCTTAGGTGTCCACTCAGGCTTCAATACTAGGTAAGACCATATTTCTTCCCAGATGTGAACGCTCAAGTTTAAGACAGATTAAGTGATGGTTGCTGTCTCAAGTTACCACTGGTTATCAGAGGTATATAGCCGGATATATCCTAGATCTCCATTAATGCCTGTAATGTCTAGAACAAGGGCTTCTTTTTTACTTGTTTTTTTTTTTAATTCTGATGTAACACAACATTGTTTAGAAAATTCAAACAATGTAGAAATAAGTAGTAAAATTTAACAGCCTTATCCTTTTGTCAAATTCTATTCTGTATAGGTAACCATTGTTAATGTCTTGGTACAGTTTCCTAGATCTTTTTCTAGGACAGACCAATATATTTCATTTCCTGGATTCTAAGACATCTTCTACCACTCCAAAAGATGGTATCTTGGGGCTAAGGGAAGATGGCCTATGCCTATAAAGCCAAGCTCATGTATAGGATAGATTTTTATTTTTGTCGCTTGGTTTAACAAAAGCTAAATCATATCTTTCATTCTTTTCAACTACTTTCTTTTTATTTAACAGTAAATCTTGGACATCCTTCTATGTCATTACTTATAGATTTACATTATTATCTTTCATGGCTGTTTCTCATTCCATAGTATATATGTCCCATAATTTATTTAACAATTCCCACATTGCTAAAATTTTAGATAGAATATTTTTTTAGCAGATTCTGGTGCCTGCAATAGGTGACAAGAACAGATTTACTACTACAAATGATGCCATAATGAACATCCTCATAATGAGTTCTTCCACATTTATGCATTTATGTTGGATAGGTTTCTAGAAGTAGGCCAAATGTTGCAGGAATTAGAAATTGGTGTTATTAAATGTCCTTCCCAAATTTCTACCAAATTATACTTCATAGGGCAGGGGTCTTAATTTGATTTCTATAAATCAGAGTATAGGGAATTCATTTTTCAGATGGTCCTTACCTTTCAACAGATTCTTGTCCCCATGCTGTGTGATGTGAACAATGAGAATTCTAGAACACTGATGATGCTCTGTTCCTGCACTGGTCTGTGCCCCAGTGGAGTCTGGTCTGGTAGACCTCACCTTGTCAGAGTATCTGGACGGTTCTCTCCCTTTCCTTGTTCCTGGACAGGAATGAAAGGGTTTTGGGGGCCATTACAGAAAAAGCCAAGATGGATGAGATGGAACGCTTCCAGCCACTGTTGGATGGGTTAAAAAGTGGGCCCTCCATTGCCCTCAAAGGCATGTATATCCCCTGAAACTGGGTTCAAGAGTAGCATTCAAGGTAGAAAGATTTAAGTTCACTTTTCCTTTTAATAGAACACGTGGAGTGACTCCCAACTATAAATTTTATATTTTAGAATTTTTTCTGAAGGGAAAATTATTATCTCTCTCCAAGAGGGCAGATAAGGAACTGTTTTCTTCATAAGCTCAGAAAACCAAGGCCTAGAACAAAGCATCCCATCAAGTCCTTGGACTCATTTAGACCTCTGAGCTCTCCAGGCCTTTGCTTAAGCCAGGCCTTACTGCTCAGAAAGTCATTCTCGTAGGTTTTGTAGTGCATCTTTTAAAATTTTCTTATTTTAGGTGGGATGCCTGCAGCTGATCAATGCTCTCATCACACCGGCTGAAGAACGTGATTTGTGAGTTCCCCTCTGAAGTGGACTGATGCACTGGGAGCAGCAGCAGGTGTTACAGGTGAGATGTGATGCTTCATCTGAGAGGTTTACTGGTTCTTCCTGCTCTTGCAGTCCAGTCCCTGGGACAGCTTTGGTTTTCAATTTAAAAACCAGGTCGAAAGGCTTGGGTTTCTAGCCAGCAAAAGACACTTCTGGGTTCCCTGACTTCCATTTTTGCCATTGACAGGACCTCCAAGAGATTGAAAATGACGATGTGAGAGTGCAGCTGACTGTATTTGATGAGCAAGGGGAGGAAGATTCCTATGACCTGAAGGGGCAGTTGGATGATACTCGGATGGAGATGGAATATCCTTTCACTGCCTGGGTTCAAGACAGAGGAGACATTCAGCTGCAGGTCCCTGTCTGGAATGGCAGAGGGGTGATGACTCAGAACAGGGCATCAGCCTGTGTGTCTTCCCGGTAGGTAAGGCTGGTGTCTGATTGCTCTTGGATTCATTTACCTCAACATGGACCAGGGAAGTTAGGAAGAGTAATCCTATGATAGTTTAGCATGCTAGGATGTAGAGCTGATTTTTGGAGAACACATACAAGTCAGAGTGTGTGGTTGTAATTTGCTTTCTTGTATGTATCCCTGAGACTGACGGAGTCACGTGGTTACCTGCTGATACTTGCCACAAGTGATTTTGAGGCAGTTATCTTTTAGTTTCTGTCTACTGCTTTATCTTAAAGCCAAGTAGTCTCCCTGCATAGTATCTTCCAACTCACTGATCCCTTAGCCTCAGAAAAATCAACCCCCAATTGTATCTTTATAGAACGTAAGGTTTTGGGCAATGTTTAAAGGAGGAACAGCTGTTAAAAGTACCATTATGCTACTTTTCCTTAAGGTTAGGCAATTCACTTGTCTCATAGTTACTAAATAAATGCTTTCCTTAGCCATGTCCCCTTTTCCACTGACTGCAGTGAAGTCTTTCAGATTCTCTTCAATACCGTGAAGGATTCAAAGGCAGAGCCACACTTCCTGTCCATCTCGCAGCACCTTCTTTTGGTCTGAAATGACTATGAGTCCAGGTAAGATGGTATACCTGTAGGAAGTTTTGAAGTTGAGCCTGCATGGAGAGAGCAAAATCCTTAAATTCAAAGATTGTAAAAGAAAGAAAGAAAAGACAGCAACAAGTATTAAGGTTCATTTTAGTCACAGATACAAAGGGAGTTGTCATTTGTCCCTTTAATCCAGGTGAAAGGCATCTCTATGGGAGAAGGCAGCCTGTACAAGGTAAAATATCCTCCTTTTTTGGCAGGGGGGATGGTGAGTGGGAAACAGATGATAGCATGAAGGGGAGAGTGGTTTAGAATTCTTTCAGGGAGCCTGGAAAAAAGGATTCAGCAACAGTGTTTCTCTACCACAGGAAGGACCAGGCCTGAGTTTTATTCCTTTTTTGGCAGGGGGGATGGTGAGTGGGAAACAGATGATAGCATGAAGGGGAGAGTGGTTTAGAATTCTTTCAGGGAGCCTGGAAAAAAGGATTCAGCAACAGTGTTTCTCTACCACAGGAAGGACCAGGCCTGAGTTTTAGGTAGGAAAGGGTTTGCACTGGAAGGCCGACAGCAAGAAGTTCTGATTATCTGAAGTAGGTGGGGTATGGTGTGGAAGAGGGGGTTTCTCAGCATGGCAGCAATACTTCTGTTGGTTTTATGAAAAGGTCTTTTCAAGAGCACTTCTCCTCAGGTCCCTCTAGTATCAAAGCAGTTAACTTTTCCTAATCCTAAATACTATTGAAAATAATATTTTGTTTCTTTCCTTAATAACCTTGTTTTGTTTCTTCCATAGACCACCATACTATATGCTGATTGAAGAATGTACTTCTCAGATAGTTCTGCCCAAGAATGGGGCTGATCCTGACTTCAAGTGTAGGTATCTCCAGGTTGATATTGAGGGATCGACTGGTAAGTACATTCTTCTGTCTGCTTCCTTAAAACACTGCTGCTACCTTTCATTTTGTATCTTCCAGTGATAATTCCAGGGAAAATAGCTTTCTAGTCCTAGGTATTTCCATTTTTAGGTGATAACCAATGTCTATGCTAGGAACATACAGTCATTTAGTTTACTTCTACATAAACCTAACACTTCTTCCCTTCTCACACATCACCCCACCTTTTGAAGGGATTTCAGCTTTATCTGTGGTTCCTGATTCTGACACGTTTCCCAAGTGTCACTTGTAGGCATTGTCCATGCCACCTAGCATGATGGTCTTACTCCACAACAGGCACTCAGAAATTAAGTGTTGAATGTAACAGAAGGTTCCATTTCTTTATGTAGTGTAGAATGTTAAGGATAATAAAAAAGTCAAAGGGACAGAAGACTGCCCTTTGCTTGTATTGAAGGGCTTAGGTAGTGAGAGGAAAAGACAAAAGAATTGGGAGCTTTACTTACTGGCTCTTTCTTCTCAGATCCAATGATTGATAAAACAAAGGTGGAGAAATCACAAGCCAAAGATATGGAGGTAGAAGGAAAGGTATGTATGAGATATCCAGAAAATTGGAGGTTTATCTTTCTAAGGATTATGATTTTTCTGACATGTAAAACAGTTACCTGATATTTTCAAAGCATTCCACCTACTATATCAGTTCCTAGGGGAAACCTTTCTGGTATGGGTTTCTCAGTGCAGAAAGTAATATGGTTGTCATCATGAGGAACTAGAAAGTAGTGAGTCTGCACAGTTCTTGAGCCCCTGGGCAGGACAGGAGAGGCAGCTGATGCTCTTAAGGAACAGCCAGTACTCTCAGGGTGCCCTGGCATTGCAGGCCTCTTATGCCTGGAACAGTAGGGACTGGAATATGTCTGTATGATTAATGACTCTCTGATGATTAACAACTCCTATTGTGATGACTAGATTTTTTGTTTTTTTGTTTTTTGAAACCTTTCAGAGAATCTTTATTATTCAGTGTGAATTAGTATCAGGCAGGATGAACAAAAATGAGTAAATAAGTTCTTTCTGGTATCAAGTAGCTTCACTACTAGTGAGAACAATAAAGAAAATACAACTACTCTATATAGCAGTTCATCTTTAGCATCTTAAGGGACAGGTAGCATAGTGTGCATGTAAAAAGGAGAGATCAACAGTGAGTAGGGAGTCAGAAAACACTTCCTAAGAGATGTAACACTAGATGCGACTAAGACTTTGTTAGAAGTAGATTAGGAGAAAGGATTTTCTGGGTGGGATGGTCATTCCACACAGGCATGTTTATAACTTTTCAAATGTTTCATTTTTGTTTGACCTACATTAAAATGCAGAGCTCCTTTAGAAACTAAAATTAGATTGAAACGATGAAGTATCTGATTTTTTAGATTAAATCTAAAATGTACATTTTCAGCCCCCTTGTATAAATGTATAAATTCTTCCAAAATCACATTATGTTCACTGACCTATCATCTTTACACTGAACTTTAGCTAAAAACAATAAAGTTATGCTCTGAAGAAGGGAAAAAAGAAAATAAAAATCAACTAGTATTGATTCCTACCTGTCAATAGCCATTTTATATATTTCATTCACTAATTCTCACAAAAATCCTCTCATTTAAGTAGATATTACTCCCCCTCTTGTATAGGTTGAATTGAGGCTCAAAGGAGTTAAGTGACGTTTTTTTGATTAAGGTATCATCGATATACAATCTTATGCTCAGGTTTCCCAAGAATGTACTAACAGTTACCAAAGGGAAAGGGACTGGGGACAGTGCGTGGGAAGGGAGGGATAAGGGGAATAAGGGGCATTGCAGTTAGCACACGTAACATAAGGGGGGGGGGGCACGGGAAAGGCAGGATAGCACTGAGAAGACAAGTAGTGAATCTATACCATCTTACTATGCTGATGGACAGTGGCTGTAATGGGGTATGTTGTGGGGGATGTGAAAATGGGGGGGAGTCTAGTAACTACAATGTGATGACTAGGTTTTTGATTCTAGAGACTATTGGGATTATTATACGCCATACCTGTTCTGGTTAAATGTCTTTAAAATCTTAGGAGTTTTGTTTTGTTCTGTTTTTTATATCTAAAAATAGGTAGACTATGGAAATGATCCCTGGTACACCCTCTTAACTTTCACAAGATCAAAATCACGGTGATCTTTTTTCCCCAGGCAGTCTCTGGGAAGGTGAGCTCCATAGGTCAAGGACTGTCACAAGACAATGAGTGATAGGGAATGACACTGCTTCTTGCTGAGACGGAGAACTTACTGGTAGCCTGATTCCTTTCTCCTTTAGTTGGATTCAGAGTTAGCCTGACATGAGCTACGGGTGGAAATGAAAAACATGGAGAATGACTTTGAGCAGAAGCTCAAGGATCTTCAGGGAGAAAAGGATACATTGCATTCTGAAAAACAACAGCTTGCGACAGAGAAACAGGATCTGGAAGCAGAGGTGTCCCAGCTTACAGGACAGGTAATGTCTGAGCAGGGAAGGCAGAGTGACCAGTAACTGCCCTGAGCAGGGAAAGCAGAGTGACCAGTAACTGCCCTGAACAGGGAAAGCGAGTGACCAGTAGCTGCCCTGATCAGGGAAGGTAGAGTGACCAGTAACTGCCCTGAGCAGGGAAGGCAGAGTGACCAGTAACTGCCCTGAGCAGGGAAAGCAGAGTGACCAGTAACTGCCCTGAGCAGGGAAGGCAGAGTGACCAGTAACTGCCCTGAGCAGGGAAGGCAGAGTGACCAGTAACTGCCCTGAGCAGGGAAGGCAGAGTGACCGGTAACTGCCCTGAGCAGGGAAAGCAGAGTGACCAGTAACTGCCCTGAGCAGGGAAGGCAGAGTGACCAGTAACTGCCCTGAGCAGGGAAGGCAGAGTGACCAGTAACTGCCCTGAGCAGGGAAGGCAGAGTGACCAGTAACTGCCCTGAGCAGGGAAGGCAGAGTGACCAGTAACTGCCCTGAGCAGGGAAGGCAGAGTGACCAGTAACTGCCCTGAGCAGGGAAGGCAGAGTGACCAGTAACTGCCCTGAGCAGGGAAAGCAGAGTGACCAGTAACTGCCCTGAGCAGGGAAGGCAGAGTGACCAGTAACTGCCCTGAGCAGGGAAAGCAGAGTGACCAGTAACTGCCCTGAGCAGGGAAGGCAGAGTGACCGGTAACTGCCCTGAGCAGGGAAGGCAGAGTGACAGGTAAATGCCCTGAGCAGCCTCAGGACAAGCCTGTCTTGGAGCAGGAGTCCGTCATCCTACTCCTGCCACCAATAGGTAATCTAGTTAGTGCATATTCTAAAAATCATTTACTGTTGTTTTGTTTCAGGGTAATACATAAAATAGAAATTTGGAAAATACAGAACAACATAAAGAATGTAATGAGTCACAGTAGGACCCAGAAATAAAGCTAGTAGTCTTTTAATAAGTTTAGGAGTAAAAACCTAATAAGCCATTCACATACTTGCCAATTTTCTTTTTGTTTTAGTCATCTGTGGACAAATTTATTCCCCCACACACACTGAGTTATAAATGTTTAAATCTGTGATATCTGATAACTCGGTAACATATGGTTATATAGTTACCTTATAGCACATATGTTAATTATGAAACTAAAATATTCCATTTACTTGACCTTTGCATTGTATAATCAAAGGGTTTGACAGAAAGGTTGATGTTGCCTTTTCAATGCAAAATATACTGACCTGCGCACATAACCTGAATTCTAGTTTTGGCTCTGCTACTTACTGTTATTTTAAGTGAATCGTTCGTTTATCTGACTCCTTGCAGCCCCTTCATGTGTAAAATAAGAAGTTTGGATTAGGGAACTTCTTAGGTGCCTTCCAGCACCAGCAGTCCCTGAAATGGAGCGAGAAGTATTCCTGTTGATATCATTTGTCTAGGTTGCCAAGCTGTCCAAGGACCTGGAAGATGCCAAGAAAGAAATTGCTTCTCTCTCTGCTGCAGTTGCCGTAGCACCTCCCAGCAGGGCTCCTGTTCCCCTTGCCCTTCCTTTACCTGGTGATTCTGGCATTGTTATTCCATCCCCACCCCCTCCTTTACCAGGAGGGCTGAGCATACCTCCTCCACCACCTCTTCCTGGGAGTGGTACCATTCCTCCACCACCACCTCCCCCTCCTTTGCCTGGGCGTGCTGGCATCCCCTCACCCCCTCATTTGCCTGGGGTTACTGCCATCCCCCCACCCCCTCCTTTGCCTGGAGTTACTGGCATGCCTCCACCTCCCCCTTTGCCTGGGACTACTGGCATCCCCCACCTCCTCCCTTGCCTAGAGGTTCAAGAATGCCACCTCCCTCTCCCCCTCCTCCTAGAGGCCCTGGCATCCCCCCACCTCCCCCTTTTGGATTTGGCATTCCTGCAGTACCAATTCTGCCATACGGTTTAACCCCAAAGAAGCTTTATATGCCAGATGTACAGCTCTGGAGGCTAAACTGGTCCAAGGTGAGAATTTCTATCTTAAGATCTTAAGAAGCCATTTCAGTTTCCTCCACTGTGTTTTGTGCATGGGTAGGTAGCCTTCCCTTTCTTATGGCTCATATGTTCTCAGGTTCCATTCATGCTTATGTTTATTCAGCAGATACTAGGCATCTCCTGTGTCCCCAGAACATCCCTTTGGAGAGTTCTACACTCTGCTGCAAAACCAGAACTGACCCTTAAGTTAAATATTTTGTCCTTTTTTGTGAAGACAGTAGTGCCATGGTAACACACGGCTTGACAGTAGTCATTTCACCAATCTGCAACTACTGGTAGTTGTGCTGATCCAAAACTCATAGATTTATGAATGCACCCCACTCCCACTACCCTGCAGGTGAATGAGTAACACAGGATATGTGTGCATGGTGTGTATTGTTCCTGCTGTGTGTTTGGGACTCCTGCGGTTCTGCATCAACCTTTTGCTTCCAAAAACCAAGTTCAAATAAAGGAGCTTAGGGATTTGTTCATAAAATGAATACATTTGTCATAGCAAAATTGATGGGGAAAATACAATGTAGAGCAAGAGAAGATATAAAATAAAGATTTTAGTACTTCTAAAACTAGAGGATTTAAGGTTAGGAGGAGGGGTAAGTATCATAACCAAATCTGGTTCTCAAATAATCACCAGTAAACAAACAAGCTGGAAGCATCACCTCCTGATCACACAGAGAGCACAGGTACCCCCTGTGTCTCAGGTACTCTTACAAGTCTGTGTTAGGCTTAGAATGATAATACTGATACCAGCCAGCCACCTTTTACGTCTTAGTCACTTTTTTAGGATGAAAAGTACTGAGCTTAGCTTAGTAACTCTTAACATGCTGCCTGTATCCACAGTTTGCTGCTCAGGACCTGTCCCAGAACTGCTTCTGGGCAAGGGTCAAGGAGGACCGCTTTGAGAACAATGAACTTATCACCAAACTTACCCAGACCTTCTCTGCCCAGACCATGAGTGAGTACCTTCCTCTTCCATGCAAAGGGCCCTGCAGGATGTGAAGTACTCTCTAGGTGGGTTTCCCGTGCCTTTCCCTCCCTGTCCTGGTGACGGTTGGAGAGAGGTGGCTTTCCCACGTGGAAGAGAGTAAGATATTTTTGTATTCTGGGGATGCTGGAGTTGAGAAAGAGAACTGTCACAGCATGTAGGTAGTTTTTTCTTCCCCAACGTTTTTGCATGTAGGTGTTTTTTGTCACTGTATTTTGTTGGTACTACGAGACAAAGGTGGCAAGAAGCTCATCCGGGCCCATTTTGATGATACTCTTGAATGGATTCTTGCATGGCCTTAAGATGCCGTCTCCAGACTGCATCTACATTTAACTGACAAGGGTTGAGCAGAGTCTTTATAGGTTAGATAGTTGAGCGACTGTCCATAATAACAAAGTGTTATTGATTCTTTTTCTTTCTTCCATTTATTTCCAGTATCTGATGCTGTCTTCTTCCTGGCCCTTTACTATTACAGCTCCAAAAGGTAAACTTCAGAAGAGCCTTTTAGTTGGGTTTCTTGAATATTAGAGAAAAAGTAACAGATGTAAAGAAATTTCTCTTTAGAAAGCTGTGATGAGATCAGGGATTCATTTCTTTTTTGCTAGTTTTTTTTTTTAAGAGGGCAGAAGGACCAGCAGTTGTGATATTAACTGACAGGAAAGAAAATTATTTGAAGTTTAAGTTGAAGCTGTTCTTTCTTTGGAAAGTGAGGGACAACTTGAGTAACAATACCATTACTTAAATTTGTATTGTGTTTTATAATTTTCAAAGTGCTTTGACATACATTACCCTGTTGGACTTTCAGAGAAGCCCCATGAGATAGGCAGGCTGGGTATTACCTTCATTTTGTTGCATATCTAGACTGAACAGTTAGGTAGCTTGCCCAAGGCTGTATGACTAGATCCAGGGGTCTTATCTTCTGGTCCATGTTTTTTAATATAAGTTCTTGCTTTTCTTCTTCACCTTTCTATCTTCCCCTTTGTGTTAGAAGAGCTAATATGTTTTGCCCCCTTCTTTCTTCATTTCCTAATTCTGGTGGGTTTGTGCTGCTTTGTGATGGGTGCTTGTAGTTATTTCCCCTAAGGGTACAGTATTTGAAAGATCTTGGGTAGCTAATGATAATTATGGCCTAATAATTTTATGTTTCCATCTCCTTCCAGTTTTTTTTAGAGGTTTATTATGAGTCTAGTGATGAAAATAACATGCAACTTTGTAGCATTCCTCCTCACCCAGACCCAGTAAATAAGCATTTTTAAAGACAATTTTTTTTCCCTTAAGTAATCTGATGGAACCAGCCTGCACTTAGTTCTGATAAGGAGCCTTGCACTGCTCAGTGCCCTTGGTCGTCCCTGATTACATGTGTGTATGTAGGAGTGCAAGATCACGGTGCTCCGACGTGACCTGTTGCCCAAGCATCCAGGGTAAAATAGCCTTTTCTTCTAACTGTCTCCTTGCAAAATAAAGTCCAGCCCAGGTAATTACTAGTTAAAAGTACTGTGATAATGACCACTTACGTTACTCTCGTCTATCGACAAAGACTAGTTGACATTGAAAATCAAAATCAGTTGGTTCCGTGATTTGAAAGTTCGCAGACTCTGTGTGGCTTCTAGCATAAGTCCTTTTGCTGCAGCCGCAATGAGTGTCCACTGAAAATGTACGCTCCTCCTTCGCTCTCTGTCACCCTTTTACCCTATGTACGTTTGTATCACTACTGACTGTAGTGGGGCTTTCTGCAGTTAGTGGTTTTCCTTCACTTTGTTTTCCCACTGTGAATTGATAGATAGCACTTTGAAAATACACACGCACGACCTTATCTCATCGACAGTGTAACCAAACTTTTTAATGCTATTTCAGCTCTCAACTTCTGCCCTAGAAACTACTTTCTATTCATTGAAGGCTCTAACTTTCTACCAGCTTTGGATTTTTTTTTTCTTAAATTATTATTAGAAATTCTGTATCTCAATCCAAAAAGTATAAGTAGGAGTTAGTCAACTTAGTTTAGTGGCTGTATTGATTTGCATGTAGTAATAATAATTATTAGTAGATTGCTGCTATTTGGATGAAGGAAATTTCTAGCTAGTCTTTAAATATCTTTAGTTTTAGTTAGGACTGTCAAGTTAAATTGGCATACTATCCTAATTTCTCAGTCTTCCCATTAGGAAGCACTCTAGATAAGATGTTTTGAAAATTATTAATTCATGAGCAGTTTTCTAGATAGCCTAAATCGTAACCATTTTAAGAAATACCTGTGGGAGAATTTTTTCTTGTCAAATACAGTCGTAAGAGTTTACCCAACTCTTTAACAGTTACATGCAACACTCAGACAACAAAACCTTCCTCCTTCTTGTCAACGATGTTCACTTATGTTTTCATTAATTCCCTTCCAAAGAACAAATACCATTCCCCTTTTAAACAATTATTTTTTCTTTGGATTTTCCATGTTTTACTGACTTCAGTGTTGTCTAATTTAATTTTTTATTCTACATTTTTCTTCTTTCTTTCCCTTTGAGTTGCCCTGTGAATCTGTGGTGATGCAGGAGTCTCTCTTTGGGACAGCGTAGTTACTTTGATAACATGCATGGGTGTCAGGTAGCAGGTAGAAGTGCCATGTATGGGCCCTGTGCATGTATAACACCCACTGTGACTGAGGTAATAATTTTCCCTGCCTTCCTGATGCAGTTTTGTGCCTTCTTCTCTTGATGTTCCTGCTGGCAAACGCAATGTAGATTGTTTTCAAGTGGCCCCCTTCCTCACAACCTGCCCAAAAAAGAACATTTAGTGAAGAAGACTTTGGGCTTCTTAGAGTTTAGGTTTTTATAAGGTAAGGAATTTCAAGTTCTGGGAACTTCAGAAGGGAGGCTTCAGAGGATCCAGATTTCCCTCGTATGAAAAGGCTTCCTTTGCTCTGGTGCTTTAAACATGTCTAGTGACATTTCAGAATACCTTCATCTTTAATCCTTTTTTGAAGTAGGTAAGCAGATTGTTACCAAGTCTCACACTCATAGAGTTAATACTGATATATATAAGTGATAGATAAGTACCCATTACCACTCTACCCATAGTCCATCTTCCAGATAAAGACGTAGAGACATGGGTCAAGTAATTTTTGTCAAGGCTGTACAGTAAAGGCCAGGACCAGGACTAATACTCCAGATTGTGTATGACTCCAGAGATCTTGCTCTAGGCCTCTGCTTCCCAGAAGTGTTATGCCCTGCCCTAAAAGCTGAGACCCAGACAGAAGATAGAAGGAGGTGCTTTCACAACCACTTAATTCGGGCATGGTTGTCCTTGAATTGACAGTGACTCTTAGGAGTACAAAAAAGGAGCAACATTAGGTTTGGGAAAGTAAGTGAGACACTGGATACCTAGGGCTTGAAGAAGAGGAGACATGTCCTAATTAATAGTTTACTTAATCTTAGCAAAATTAATCCAGTTGGAGAAATAAGACATGCTTGTCTAGTGCACTAGGAGTACTGCTTAGACTGTTTCAGCCCAGCGATTGCCAGTCTTATAAGGAAGTTATTTGGACACTAGGTTTTCGTGATATTGACTTATTTCCTCTCTCACTTGCTAAATGACAAGTACCTGCTATTTGTTAAACATGGATGCATCCCTTATATTTTTGATACCAGAACCCTTATATTTTTGATATCTAAAACCTCCCATATACCTACTGGCTCCTCTAGAATGGATATTAAAGAAAACATCTGACTCACTCTTTACATCTGCCTTCTGTAGTCAGGGCTTGTCTGGCTGCTGCTTCATTAAGGTTCAGGAAGCTGTGTGCCTTTCTACTAAGATGGGAGCTGATGGAGAGGAACTGGTCCTCAAATTCATGCCATAGGTTTTCTCACCCATTTTTCTCTCATAAGTATCAGTCTTTTACTTTTGAACTCCTGACTTTGTAAGTCAAGAATTTACTTACTGCTATATTCCTTACAGGGGACTACTTTGAATTCAGATTTAATAGGGTGCTGTGAAAGTTCTAGTCCTTTTTCACATTCTCGCTTGCTTTATGGTGTTCAGCAAGGAGTCTTATCATGGTCTCTTCTGACTTTGCTTCTTGAATTTCTTGGGAACATGTTCAGCAGTTAAACTTTAATTTTTTTATCTTTTTCTGGGAAGCATTTTCTTCCCAGTGGTGGCCACAGGTCATTATTTGTCTGTACCAGAAAATTAGTTTTCATTTTGCTTTTCTTCTAACTCATACTCTCTTTTGTTGATGTCACAATCCCATTAAAAATAACTTAAAACACAGTAGGGTACATGATAACTGATGTCCTAAGTATGGTGGCATTTTTCTTTTTTCATTTTTTGCCTTTCTTCCAGAAACCTTTTGGACCCATAAGACCCACAAGTTAATCACCCTTACTGGGTGTGCAATGGACAGTATGTAGCATTGGACCATCTCCCTGTTAAACTATGCAGGTGTTATGGGAACCATGAGCATCGGAACAGTTCTTCAAGTGGTTAATGACAGTAATTTAGAAAGAACTGTGGCTAAAAATCAAGATCTTGACCAGAAGCTGAGGATTTCATAAATAACAGTAGTCTAATTAGGATTTGACTGTGTGGACCCAGATCCTGAGGTTTGTGGTGCTCTCCCACAAGTCAGAACTGTGGGCAGCACAGCTGGATGTACCCGTCTTCTGCCTCCCCAGAACCTTTCTGGCTCAGGCTTCAACAAGAGCCTGTGGTGGGGAAGCAATCCCCCTTTTTACAAGAGACTAACAGGTCTTTTTGCTTTTCCCTGTGATCCTCTTCTGTCTACTAGGTGGCACCCACCAAGTTGAGATTTTTATCAGGAAATCTTTACAATTTCCTAACTAACCCTTAGCAACACGATTTTGTAAGATCTCAACATGCTCCAAACCATTTATTGAGTCTCTTGACAGAAAGATGTCTGTTCCATCAGTTCCTTCCTCTTCTCAAGTGTATTAGGTTTTGACCAGAGGTGCCCTTCACATGAACATTTGTTGGGATTGTATTTCAACTACTACCTTTCCTTAGGTTTTAAGTAGGGTTGGACTGTTAGTACACAGTACTGGGAAGTTCCATAATGTCAGATGGTGTTCCCTTGTGATTTAAAAGCATAAGTCTACGCCTATCGCCTGAGGTTACAAGGAGTCCTGCACTGCCCATGGACGAAGTACTACACCTCTTCTGTTGTTTTCTCCCCACCATTCATGGTATAAAAAAAGAACCTTAACTCCCCCTCCCATAGTGCTCTACACTCCCAACCTTGCCATCACTGTTTGCCTTGAATCACTGATTTAATATTATGCCATTCATTTTGGTGTATGTCACTCACCATGGGAAGCACCATTTTCCCAGGTGACGCTCATCTCCCCTACTTGAATTCCCACAATGTTCTGTGAGCTCCTGTTCAGTCTCCTCCCTCCTACTTAGCTCCTGAAACCCACCCACGGGGCCCTCTGGAATTCATGGTCCGGTACTGGTGAAATCTCCTTCTTTGTCAACCTC